ACACACACACACACACACACACACACACACACACGCACGCACACACACACACATATCGATCATCTGGTTCCATCATCTGAATTCGAACTTGGGTCTGCATTTCAACAGTTCATGGGTGTACCCCGTATTGTGCCAACATGCCGATCTAATACGACAGGCACCTAAAACCATACCACGGTCTAGAGACATTAGTGCGTGCCCAAAGGTACCAATCTTGCAATAACTGCAGTCGTCATAAAGCTGAAGACGAGCAAGTTACTGTAGCAATAATCCCTCAAACAAGCTCTTTCTTTATTATTACGATGATAGTTTCAAAAACCATCTCGATGATAACAAAAAAAGAGAAGAGGTTAATGAACTCAACACAGCAGCTTTTCGAAATCTGCCAGATACAGGCATCGCAGGAATCAACTTAATCCATCCCACTGTAGCAAAAAAGACGAGAAAATTCATGCCCATCGTTCAAAGGGGAGAACACGCCCGCATTCTAGATACTCCACACACAACAGAACCGATATCGACCTTCTCTAAATATCACTGTATCACAGACTTGACAGCTCGGCACAGCATCACAGACTCAGTCGAATTATAGCAACTACAGAATGGTTAACAAATATAAAAGGGAAGAGAACAACGATCGCTCCCCCCATTCCTTCCTCGCTATCCAGTTGTCGTGTCACTATCCGTTCCTTCCTCGCTATCCAGTTGTCGTGTCACTATCACAATCCTCATCGTCGTCAGCAGCATCAGCAGTCATCATCATCACCATCACACTCCAAGTCGTCCCCCACCAATAGACAGGAGCCTCCCTCTGGGTGCGCCAGCACCACTAGCACCACAGGGGTGTGTGTGTTATTAAAAAAAATTAAAAAAAATAAAAAAGTCGTCGTCAACAGCATCACCATCATCGAAAGGCCTCGGTTTCAAAGTCAAGCCGAAGAAAAACATGCATGCATCTAGACGATATGCTCACTCTGTAAGGGCGGGTGGACATCCACCATCATGACCATAGATCGCTCAGTGACTGCAGACCTCGCGCATCGCTATAGCCTCGAAATCACGCCCACCAAACCCACCCCCTGGCCCCCCAACCAAACCCACCCACCATTCCATGATACACTCAGAGCGTGTGCGTGATAATATAAGATTTCATGTCACTGCGGTGGCAGTACGAGACTAACGGAGATCTGAGTGCTTCCAGATCATTCAGAGGAGGGAGGTCCTACTTCCAAGTACACACATGCAATCGCGACATGTACGTACACACGGGGGGGCAGGAAATGCAACAAGAACAAGTCTTGATCTATAACAAGAAACAAGGACCCAATTTTCCACTAAGATTTCGTTTCGACTGAATTTGGGCATGAAAACGGTCCTCGTGCGAGCGTAACCTAAGCGTCGTAAGGAGAGTAAGAAATTACTTACAGTAATTCTGATCAGCGCGACCGACACAATCCGCGAAACACGTCAAGGAATCGAAAGACGCTCTCCCCTTCATCGGCGAGCCAGGGAGAGCGTTCATGCCCCGCTACTTCTTTTTTTTCCTTTCCCCTCCGCCGGCAACGGAAGGACAGCAATCTGACAGTCGAATCAAATTCATTTGCTAATCAAATTCATTTGCTTGATGTGTTTGCTGATGGCAGTCAGAAAAGATTGAAAAAAGAAAATTATAGGAGCCCTCTGGCGGGCAGGTCAGCACAGCCCCACGAGCACAGCCACCCTTAAAACTCGGATATAATGGTCCATAAGATCTCTATTTAATATAAATTCATGAGGTAATGGAATTTCTTTAGGATCATGGCTTGTGGCTCCTTCGACGACGACACAAACAGAGAAAACACTTCACACGACCGTATCACGAGAGAACAAAATAAGCATCATCAGATACTTCCTTGTGATGAAGTAAAGCATTGCGTTCAGGCGGTCGCTGAGGAGACGGCTGCAAGAGGTAACTAGATCAATCGCAGAGATTTTCTGCAAGTCCGACATCATGAATTGACTGCCTTTGTTCTTCATTTCCGTTTTCATCCGCATAATGACACTTCCGCAAAGAGCAGTCGCCAAAACATCACCCAGCCCAACACCTCAATTCCCCGCTGGTAGCCCGCACATGCCCCTGTGGGAACCATGACCTCCCAAGCTGTATCAATGTTTCTATGTCTGTCCGCCTGTGGGTCTGTGTGTCTGCCTGTGGGTCTGTGTGTCTGCCTGTGGGTCTGTGTGACTGCCTGTGACTCCTGTCTCTTATACACATCTAGATGTGTATAAGAGACAGCTCTCTCTCTCTCTCTCTCTCTCTCTCTCTCTCTCTCTCTCTCTCTCTCTCTCCTGCTTCTATCACACATGCAAACGCCCTTTTCAATCAATTTGATCGATCCTCTCTCTCCGGCTCTGCCAACCTCTCTTACTCGCGCGCTGTGGAACCCGCACGACTTTCAATTCCTCTGGTTCCCCAATCGCCCATACGCCGCCAACACTTTCTCTCTCTCTCTCTCTCTCTCTCTCTCTCTCTCTCTCTCTCTCTCTCTCTCTCTCTCTCTCTCTCTCTCTCCCCAACCCCCAACGCTCTTACCGTGCTACTGAGACAACAAGACACGGCTCAATGACCAGCAGAAAAGCCGGTCCGAAACAAGACAACACCACAACACCGATGAGGACGTAGTGGGAGAAAAGAAGGGTGCAACGAGACCGATCCCAAAACCGCCGTAACGCCAAAGATCAACCTACCGAGGAAATCAATGAAGATTCTCCCCTATAAACCATTTTTCCACCTTTCGTTCGGTAAATGCACATCACAACTTACAAAGACGCTGATGCCAAAATATCGATAGAGGGAAATAGATATATTCATGTTCATACCATCTCTCTCACAAACGCATGTTGGCTGGTGAAGCCGGTATACACTCACTACTTGCATCAGATCAAATTAGGGCATACGGTGCGACAGTTTTTGTCAGGCTTTCACTGACCTACACGTCCATCAATATCACTCTAATAAATTGACTGCATATGGCCGGCCTTGCCACCTTTATTAGTTATTATTCACGACTTCAACACTTCTTTATAACCATGGCTGCGTCCGACCGTCCCAGGACTATTGTTTTCACCTATAGTAATAGGAAATCAACCTTGTTAATATCGTTTTTAATATCATTATTAACGTAATATCGTCTTCCATACAGGTATATCTAGCCAGATCAAGGACGCCTGTCGTGAGATGCAGCACAATCATTGATCCCCATCCTGACCTCTTATTCAGCAAACGTCACTAATCATTGCAATCGACATCAGATCCCGCTGCTGCTCTTTTTCTTGACTCCATGGGAGAATCCCTTCCAAAGAAATCGAGAGAGAATGGTAGGCAATAGGCAAAGTTCGGCCCAAATGACCTAATGTTATACATTAGATGTTAATCAGTATTTTTGTAGCATGCACTACTTTCCGTGAAGAGAGGCACTGCTTCCCGTGAAGAAGCACTGCTTTCCGTGAAGCAGCACTGTTTTTCGTCCATCCTCACCACACTGACCCCACACAAACTGCGCGCGCGACACACACACACACACACACACACACACACAAGGACATCGCCTGCACTGAAGGCGGCCTGCAGCACAGACGTCGAGCATATTCATCACGCCGTGCTCATGATTCCAATTTTATCGTCCTGCTCCGCACTCCACACCAGAGCAAACACGTTCATCTCGTACCCTAGCAACGATTAGCTCCTGCTGCTCTTCTCATTTTGGGTCCGCCGTCGGTCGAACGTTTTCTGCTTTTTGCATCCATTCGGCGAAAGCAAAATGGGAGAAAGAAAGACGGCTAAGGAAGAAAGGAGGTGAGGTCAGATTCTGAAAGCTGATGAATCTTTGAATCATTCACACACACACAC